ACAAGAAAAGGGCAACCAGTGAAGAACAAACACCATTGTAAATACAACCCAGATTTATTTATTTTCGCTTTTGTACTTAAAATATTTGCACATCATTATAACACTGTATATATACATAATATGACATTTGAAATGTCTTTATTCTTTTGAAACTTCTGAGTGTAATGTTTACTGTTACTATTTATTGTTTATTTCACTTTTGTTTACTATCTACTTCACTTGCTTTGGCAATGTTAACATACGTTTCCCATGCCAATAAAGCCCCTTGAATCGAATTGAAATTTAATTGAGAGATATATCAAACAAAGAGCACAGAAGGAAAAGCTCTCTCTCAGTGACAACTCAACCATCCTGAGTGAGTTTGATCAAACCTCTTCAAACTGTCCTGCAGACAAGGATAGTCTGTTGGGTGAAATACCACAGTGTGCCATCACAGCAGAAAGATTTGTGACCTGTTGCCACAAGAAAAAGGCAACCAGTGAAGAACAAACACCATTGTAAATACAACCCATATTCATGTTTATTTATTTTCCCTTTTGTACTTAAAATATTTGCACATAATGACATTTGAAATGTCTTTATTCTTTTGGAACTTTTGTGAGTGTAATGTTTACTGTTATTTATTTTTATTTCACTTTTGTTTATTATCTATTTCACTTGCTTTGGCAATGTAAACATGTTTCCCATGCCAATAAAGCCCCTTAAATTGAAATTGAATTGAGAGAAGAGATGGAGGAGGGCTTGGAGAGTTTAGAACCTCATCCCCTGTTCCCCTCCTCTAGTGTACTAAAGAGGAGAGATCCTTATCTATGTGTCCATCTGAGCAGACACCCATCTAGCCAATCAGAGCTCAGAGATCTGTGGGGCGGATCAGGCTGACTTCTAAAGTTCATTAGGTCAAAGGTCATCACTAGGAGAAAACGGTGAAGAAGTAGAAGGATGGAGAGAGAGGAGGCAAAAGAGTGGACAACTCACTTTAGAGAGGAGAGTTCTCTGATCAGGCCACAGACCAGTTCCGTAGCGTCTTCCTCCCCTTCCTCTTCCTCACTAGTTAAGGGGAAGAGAGAGACAAAGAATAGCACCCTATTCCCTATATAGTGCACTACTTTGGACCAGAGAATAGCACCCTATTCCCTATATAGTGCACTACTTTGGACCAGAGAATAGCACCCTATTCCCTATATAGTGCACTACTTTAGACCCGAGCCACATGTGCACTATATGGGGAATAAGGGTTTATCGTAGGCTTTAAAAAAAAACGAATACAAACTTCTAAAATAGTGTACTGGTTCTAGGACGATGGATAAAGGTATCCGGTCAAAAATGATCCTCTGTCAGTAATGCTACTGATACAAGATGAAATATCTACACTACCGTTCTTAGAAATGTCCTTGTTTTCCATGAAAACATACATGAAATGAGTTTGAATAGGAAATATAGCAAAATGAATAGGAAATGTGGTCATTGACAAGGTTAGAAATAATGATTGTGTCCTTCAAACTTTGCTTTTGTCAAAGAATCCTCCATTTGCAGCAATTACAGCCTTGCAGACCTTTGGCATTCTAGTTGTCAATTTGTTGAGGTAATCTGAAGAGATTTCACCCCATGCTTCCTGAAGCACCTCCCACAAGTTGGATTGGCTTGATGGGCACTTCTTACGTACCATACGGTCAAGCTGCTCCCACAACAGCTCAATAGGGTTGAGATCCGGTGACTGTGCTGGCCACTCCATTATTAACAGAATACCAGCTGACTGCTTCTTCGCTAAATAGTTATTGCATAGTTTGGAGCTGTGCTTTGGGTCATTGTCCTGTTGTAGGAGGAAATTGGCTCCAATCAAGCTCTGTCCACAGGGTATGGCATGGCGTTGCAAAATGGAGTGATAGCCTTCCTTCTTCAAGATCCCTTTTACCCTGTACAAATCTCACACTTTACCATCACCAAAGCACCCCCAGATCATCACATTGCCTCCACCATGCTTGATAGATGGCATCAAGCACTCCTCTAGCATCTTTTCATTTGGTCTGCGTCTCACAAATGTTCTTCTTTGTGATCCGAACACCTCAAACTTCGATTTGTCTGTCCATAACACTTTTTCCCAATCTCTGTCCAGTGTCTGTGTTCTTTTGCCCATCTTAATCTTTTCTTTTTATTTGCCAGTCTGAGATGTGGCTTTTTCTTTGCAACTCTGCCTAGAAGGTCAGCATCCCGGAGTCGCCTCTTCACTGTTGATGTTGAGACTGGTGTTTTGCGGGTACTATTTAATGAAGCTGCCAGTTGAGGACCTGTGAGGCGCCTGTTTCTCAAACTAGACACTCTAATGTATTTGTCCTCTTGCTCAGTTGTGCACCGGGGCCTCCTACTCCTCTTTCTATTCTGGTTAGAGCCAGTTTGCGCTGTTCTGTGAAGGGAGTAGTACACAGCGTTGTATGAGATCTTCAGTTTCTTGGCAATTCCTTGCATGGAATAGCCTTCATTTCTCAGAACAAGAATAGACTGACGAGTTTCAGAAGAAAGTTATTTGTTTCTGGCGATTTTGAGCCTGTAATCGAACCCACAATTGCTGATGGTCCAGATACTCAACTAGTCTCAAGAAGGCCAGTTGTATTGCTTCTTTAATCAGCACAACAGTTTTCAGCTGTGCTAACATAATTGCAAAAGGGTTTTCTAATGATCGATTAGCCTTTTAAAATGATCAACTTGGATTAGCAAACACAACGTGCCATTGGAACACAGGACTGATGGTTGCTGATAATGGGCCTCTGTACGCCTATGTAGATATTCCATAAAAAATCAGCCGTTTCCAGCTACAATAGCCATTTACAACATTAACAATGTCTACACTGTATTTCTGATCAATTTTGATGTTATTTTAATGGACAAAAAAAATGTTTTTCTTTCGAAAACAAGGACATTTCTAAGTGACCCCAAACGTTTGAACGGTGGTGTAGATCAGTGGTTATCGCTGGGGTACTGCAGGTGGCCCACAATTCTTTGTGGATAAAAAACAAGAACATTCTTCCAAAAATAATAACAGTCGGGGTCACTGAGTTCTTCAGTAAGGCCATTCTACTATCAATGTTTGTCTATGGAGATTGCATGTCTGGGTGCTCAATTTTATACACCTGTCGGCAACGGGTGTGGCTGAAAAAGCCGAATCCACTAATTTGAAGGGGCGTCCACATACTTTTGTCATGTAGTGTATATTGGCCATATACCACAAACCCCTAAGGTGCCTTATTGCTTTTATAAACTGGTTACCAATGGAATTAGTACAGTAAATTGCACTTTTTTGTCATACCCATGGTAAATGGTCTGATATACCACGGCTTTCAGACAATCAGCATTCAGGGCTCCAACCAGTTGCATCATCCTGACTGGTTGCATTACCGCCTGGTATGGCAACTGCTCAGCATCCAAAAAGAATAACAGTTGGGGTTATTAATGGTGTTATAAGCCATTTTACATTACTTTTCACAATGCAAATAGTTTATAATAGGCCTTTAATTTGTTATGTTCACTGCTAAAATGTACTAAATTTGACAGCCAAGATATTTTATGTTTAAAAAAAATCTGCGACTCTGCGAAAGGTGGTCCTCAACAGCTTTTGACTGATTTGCTCCCAGGAACAGAAAAGGTTGGGAACCGCTGATCTAGATAGAAACAATGAATTGCTCACAAGACAATCGTTCACAACTGTTCACCTATGGCAAACACTTTTTTTCTAGCTATCTGATTGGTTTATCACTACATCTCTTTCATCTGCTGACAGTGACAATTATTAATTTTTTTGGCTCTGTACTCCAGCACTTTGGGATTTGAAATGATACAATGACTATGAGGTGCAGACTGTCAGCTTTAATTTGAGGGTATTTTTGAAATTACAGCACTGTTTGTACCCAGTCCTCCAATTTCAGGGGACCAAAAGTATTGGGACAAATTAACTTATATACACTATATATACAAAAGTATGTGGACACCCTTTCAGATTAGTGGATTGGGCTACAGAAATGATTTGTTGAGATCGGTGTGGAAGAACTTGACTGGCCTGCATAGAGCCCTGACCTCAACCCCATCGAACACCTTTGGAATGAATTGGAACGCCGACTGCGAGCCAGGCCTAATCGCCCAACATCAGTGCCCGACCTCACTAATGCTCTTGTGGCTGAATGGAAGCAAATCCCCGCAGCAATGTTCCAACATCTAGTGGAAAGCCTTCCCAGAAGAGTGGAGGCTGTTATAGCAGCAAAGGGGGGACCAACTCCATATTAATACCCATGATTGTGGAATGAGATGTTCGACAAGCCTACATACCTTTGGTCATGTAGTGTCTGTATTAAAGTAGTAAAGAGTTAAGTATTTGGTCCCATATTCATAGCACGCAATGACTACATCAAGAAATGTGCAGACGCACAAATATCGTACCCCCCCAAAAAATGCTAAACTCCCAAAGTGCTGGAGCCAAAACAACAAAAAATGTGTCAATGTTCCAATACATTTGGAGCTCACTGTATATGTCCCAAATGGCACCCTTTTCCCTTTATAGTGCACTACTTTTGACCATGGGCCCTGGTCAAAAGTAGTGCACTATGTAGGGAATAGGGTGCCATTTGAGAGGCAGACAGCAGATGATTTAGAAGCAGTGACCCCGGCAGGGGATCTTCTCTGATGTTAGTTTAGAACGGTGAGAAAAACACAACTACTGTCTGTCTCAAGGCCCAGAGGTAAAGGAGAGGAGAGATGAAGGAGAGGAAAGATAGAAATATCCCTTCATCTTGTTCCCGTCCCCTCATCTTCCTGCCCTCTCATCTGCATATCAGCACTTCTCTCCTCCCCTCATCTTCCTGCCCTCTCATCTGCATATCAGCACTTCTCTCCTCCCCTCATCTTCCTGCCCTCTCATCTGCATATCAGCACTTCTCTCCTCCCCTCATGCCTGCATCTACCTCCTGTACCTGCCTCACCCATCCCCCTCTCCTTTCTCCCCCCCTCTCTCACGTCAGAGTGATGGTGTTGAGTTGAGAGTCAGACACGTAGTCCAGGGCCAGTGCTCCAAACGGGTCAACGACAGCAGCATCATCATCGTCTCTGGTCAGGTCTGGGGATGCGGACTGAAATACACAAACAATCAGGACTCAAACAAACAAAGTAACAAACAAAGATGTCAACAAAAACACTCACATGGTTGTTCTCCTCCGAGCCACCAGGTGTCACTGCAGCCTGGTTGTGCCCCTCCCTTCCAGGACCTGGCTTTGTGGGGGGAGGTGTGCTGGACTCTCCTCTGTCAGCCGGGGCCAGACTGAGTGCCCGGGGGTTGGCCCCAGTCCCAGCCCCCGCCCCAGCTCCAGCCACTGCCCCATCTTCAGCCCCCCTCTCTCTCTGGGTAGGTGAGCTCTGAACCTCTCCCTGGTGCTCCCTCTCTGCCCCAGCCTCCAGAGGGATGGAGGTAGGGGTGGTGGTGGAGGATGGTGGAGGAGCCCTAGGGGGGCTCTCCTCTGGCTCATTAGACCCACAGCCCCCCCTGTCCCCCTCCTGTTTCTTCTCCACAACCCCCTCTGTGTCTAGCTCTTCTTCCCCCAACACCATAGGCTGCTCACTGCCCAGTGGGTCCACCTTCAGGCCAGTCCAGAGACCCTCTCCTGTGACCTGCTCTGGCCCAGAATAAGCCACTTCGCTGGGGCCTGCATGGCTTGACTCTCCCCCTGACTGAAGCTGCTCCTCATCTAACTTCTCCTCCTCTTCCTTCTCCTCCTCTTCCTTCTCTCCCTCTTCCTTCTCCCCCTCTTTCTCTTTCTTCCTCTGCTCAGTGGTACTCCCCAGAGGGGCAGATGGAGGGATGAATGAAAGGAATGATGGATCAGAGGATGATGCAGCCACCAGGTTGGCACCACCACCACTATCACCACTCTGCCCGATGTCCTTCTCTCTCTCTTTCTCCACTGTCTCCTCCTCTCCTTTCCTCACCATCCCCATCGCTTCTCCCTCACTCCCTTCTTCCTTCACACTCTTTCTTTCCTTCTGCTGCTCCTCCTCTATTCCTCTCCTCCTCTCCCTCTCTCTCTCTCCCAGACCACACATCCCCATCCTCCTCCTCCTCTTCTTCACTGGTGCTTCCACAGATCTGTCCTCCTCCGCTGTCTTCTTCTCTGGTGCTTCCACAGATCTGTCCTCCACTGCTGTCTTCTTCACTGGTGCTTCCACAGATATGTCCTCCTCCGCTGTCTTCTTCTCTGGTGCTTCCACAGATCTGTCCTCCTCCGCTGTCTTCTTCTCTGGTGCTTCCACAGATCTGTCCTCCTCCGCTGTCTTCTTCTCTGGTGCTTCCACAGATCTGTCCTCCTCTGCTGTCTTCTTCACTGGTGCTTCCACAGATCCGTCCTCCTCTGCTGTCTTCTTCACTGGTGCTTCCACAGATCTGTCCTCCTCCACTGGCGGCCCCTTCCTCCCACCGCCCAGACAAACACCTCTCTCATCTATAGCCTCCTGCTGTTCACTGTCTCGCTCCTCCATTTTGGGCTTCGGGTTCTTCTCTCCACACTGCTCCTCTTCATTGTCGGTTTGACTGTCCCCGTCCCCAACTTTGACCTCCTTGGATGGGGAGCTGGGGGTGGGGCTGGGCTACAGTCAGTGGGTGTGGGGGGGAGCTGAGGAACCTCTGTGTCTTGATGTCTTCTTCTTCTCTACCCTCGTCATCTTTAACGGAGGACTCCACACTATGTTCTTCCTGTGGAGTATCTTCACGATCCTGATTGGTTGGAACTGTCTCCTCTGTGCCCGCCCCCTCCACAGCCCCTCCAATGGCCTGCTCTCCCTCGATGCCAGTCACAACCAGACTTTCCTCCACTGGATCCCCCTCTTGCTTGGGTGCAGTGGTATCTCCCGCTTTGTTAGCCTTCTGAGATGGATTAGTAGTACAGCCCGTCAGAGGGCGGTGGGGATCTTTAGGAGGAGAGGTTGTTTTTAACACTGTTCCCTCAGTGTCCTGCTGCACACAGCAGAGGAGTTAGAATCAGTTAAAACATAGCAACATTTAAATTGTAACTGACAAACGCTCAACCAGCAAATGTAACTTCTGTTGGCTACCTGTTCTAGGTGTGAGGGCTGTGCTTCCACTGCCTCTCCAGAGGGGTCGCTCTCCTCTAACGCATCACAGCACTTTCTCTTCCTTGACCTGAGTGACCTAGGCTGGGGAGGTGTGAAACCTGGAGAGAAAATGTAACCTTTATGCTATAGAAATGTCCTTTCTTTCATATGTAATAATACAGTAGCAAGCAAACAGGTGGACTGGCAACCTTTCACTTTGTTTTTCCATATCTCAGATAATTTCAATGGATAAATGTAACTATGTTGGACGAAAGGTTTATGTCTCGGCAGGTCAAGGTATTCACTTTATGAATGAATGATTTCATCCAATAAAAGCATTGAAGATCATTTAAGCCCCAATATACAGTTTATGTGATTTTAATGGGGGCTATTTCAGCCTTACTTTTGGTTTGCGTTTGTTTTTTGGTCATCCTTCCAAGCCAGCGCTTCAAATGCAAAAACAAAACAGAGACAAAGTGTGTCAGTTGGCTAAGTTAGCTAACAATGATTTGCCAATTATCAGATATCATGACACTGGCAAATCATCTAATTCAAAACAAAGACAACTAGCCAATAACATCTATCTAGCTAATACTTTTGAACATTGATGGTAGATTTTGGTTTCTCCTCAAGATTTTGACTTGGTCACAACTGTAGCTAGCTAGCCTACCTGGCCGTGCAGATCAAGATGGATTGTGAGTGGTCTCTCTTGCTAGCTAGCTATCAAACTTTGGCACTCTCACTGAAACATATAACGTTAGCTACAGTGCATACCAAGCTCAACTAGCTAGCTAAGATGAAAACAAATCTAATTTTCAGTGACGAATATGAGATTTTTACACATAACTTTGACTGGACCTCACAGCTAGACACTTGTTAGAATATAGAATATGTTTTATACATCAGCAATGACATTTCTGGGCGTGTCCTTCAAACGCCGTAAAGCAAGGTAGTCGCGTTGCCAATGGTTACCCAATGCAGGAAGTAGGAAGTAGCCCAATGTACACACCTTTTCGTGTTTTTAATAGCTCTCTAACTAACAATAATTTATACGTGAGTAGCGTTCTCTCATATGTTTTCGAAATGATCAGTTGTCGTATGAACTAAGAAAGCGCTCAACATATGGTCTGTGGAAAACGTATGACAAGGTAAGCTTTTAGTGGCAATGTTTACAAATGGTATGGCAGCTTCTAGCAAGCTAGCTAGTTAACAAGCTAACTACTACAAGTCATAGCTGCTGAACAGCGAATGAGGATTAACAACATTTGTGTCATGGATGATGCTATGAATTTGCTGTTAGCTAACTGCTAACGTCACTGTACTAATTTGCTGCTAAGCAATGTCAGAGACTCAGACACAAAACGTGAGCAGTCAACGAATGTCTTATTACTAGCCATGATATCAATTAAATGTATCCAGCTAGCTAAATGCAGTGTAAATTCAACAAGGTCCTGTAGCTAACTGTCAATTTTTGTCTGTCAATACGTGTATGATAAAAGCTGAATATAGCTAGCTACTGGAACTAATGGCCAGATGATACAATATATGTCTTTGGTTCTACTGTGTTGTTTTAGTTGTGGCACAGGTCAGTTGACAAGGTTCTCTCCATGAGTCACAGTCGGAATCCCCCGCCCAGGGGACAGGGGGCAGCGCGAGCCAAACAGGTAATTAATTATCATCGATAACTGTAAGTCAAGTTGTCATTGATAACACTAGTAATTCGTGTTTTCAATTCTCTCTCTCTCTCCCTCTCTTCTCACTCTCGCTATCTCTCCCGTCTCCATCTATCTCTCTTCATGCTCTCTCCCCTCTCTATCTCACATTCTCTCCCCGCTCTTCTCTCTCTCTCTTTCACTCTCTCTCCCCGCTCTTCTCTCTCTCTCTTTTTTTCTCTTCCACTCTCTCTCCCCTCTCTCTCTCTCTCTCTCTCTCTCTCTCTCTCTCTCTCTCTCTCTCTCTCTCTCTCTCTCTCTCTCTCTCTCTAAGATGGGGCTGCTCCTGGATCTGTCTCCGGATGGAGGGATGGATGAAGGTGGAAATGAAAAGGAGCTGGAGGCGGAGCTACTGGCTCTGATGGGAGGGGACGGGTCCCAGGGGAAGAGAGGGAAAGGTGAGGATCATCATCCTATTCATCATCATCTTCTCCCAATCTTCTATTAAATAACTTCCACAGACCCTACCACTAGAACCGTGTTGATACCTGCCTCCACAGCTCCAGTTCCAATGGCCGACATCGAGCGTATGGCGGCTCTGTGTATGAAGGACCTTGATGATGATGATGTTGGGGATGAAGATCTGGAGGATGACGATGATCTCCTGGTATCCACCATGTTTACACTCTTCTTCACACTCCTCTTCACACTCCTCTTCACACTTATTTTTTCCTCCTATCTGTTGTTGTTTCATTCCCAATGTTAACACTGTGTGTGTGCGTCTGTGTGTGTGTACGTCTCTATCTGTGTGCGTCTTTGTGCGTGTGTGTTTATACATTTATGTGTCTTTATCCATCCACAGGCTGAGCTGAATGAGGTCTTGGAGGACAATGATGATGATGAAAAGGTTCCTGCCACCCCTCCCAGCTCTAACTCCACCCCCCGCTCCACCCCCACCACCCCTAGTGGTACAACCGGGCTGGAGGCCTGCCTGGCTGAACGCATTGACATGTACCAGACGGCCATCTCCAACGCCAAGGCAGAGGGGGAGATGAGCAAGGCTCGCAGATACGACCGCGGGTTGAAGGTGAGCCAGAGACCATGGGCTGGTTGTATGATGATGTGTTTCAGAGTAGGAGTGCTGATCTATGACCAGTTTTTCCCCTTAAGATTATAATGAACAAGATTACTGGACAGGATGGACCTGATCCTAGATCAGCACTCCTATTATGAGACGCTTGATACATACGGCTCCAGGAACTTGAATTATCCCAGATTCATCTAGCCATATGTAAACCTGTAATTCAACAGTTGAAGTTATACTTTTCCTTTCAGCTGAATGTTTGCTTGCTTGTCGTCTCCCCCTAGACGTTGCAGTCCATGATGGCGTCAGCCAAGAAAGGAAAACCAATCAACGAAGAGGAAATCCCGCCTCCTGTCGCCACAGGTGGAAAGCCTGCCCCAGCCCCCGTGCAGCAGCTTGAACCAATCAAAGAGCGGGGGCCGCCAACCCCAGTGATGACGCCCTCCCCGTTCACCAATCAGAAGCATCTGAGGGAGGCTCCGCATGTTGCCCCGCCTCCTAAGCCCCACCTCCTGGTCCCCCCTCAGAAAAACACTGCCGTTACCCCGGATACGCCCGCTATTTCCCCCCTCACCCCCATTCAACCAGACGCACGGCACTCAGGTAGATCCCACACACACACACACACACACACATTTTTGAAGACAGATACCAGCTTGAAGACACCAACCTGTAAATGTCACTGCAGTCCCCAAAACAATGGAACATTCTGGTTGTTTTATAATTCTCTCTCTCTTTCCTCTCCCCTCTCCCCTCCTCCCCTCTCTCTCTGTAGAGTTGAAGCAGTGTGTTCTAAACAGACAGAGGGAGTATAAGCTTGCAGCCCTCCAAGCCAAGCAGGGAGGAGAGTCAGAGCTGGCCAGACAACACTACCACATCGCCAAGGTACCACACACACTACGGGTTAAAGGACCTCGATGGACCTCGACTAGGGGTTCAAATTGGGGTCCTTAACGTTAAGAAAAATCCCTAACCGTTTTTTCCCCACCCACATAATTAAAATCACAGTGCAGTTATCACATAACATATTATTTTCAGTTTTATATCCTAACTAGACGATAGGCTATAAAGGGGAAAGTGGTGTAATTTTAAAGGTTGACTCAGCGATATGAAGTAGATGCAGAAAGTAAACGGCATAGTGGGTCAATTTCTGCAACAAATAAGAACGTTGAAGCGCGAGGCTCAACTTCTCCGCTATTTTGGTGCCCTGGCTACCACGCTGTGAAGCGAACCAGTGCACATGCGCAGATACTGTGTGGGACTGTGTGAGAGCCAAGTGTTGCATCTTGCTCATGTCAATATCCTAGTCTAGAGCCCTGCATTACTGAAGTTCTGAGACATTGCAAGCCAAGAAATTGCGAAATACAGCTTTTGATTGCCGATAGATAGGCCTAGTGCACGGTTCTGACTGTCTGTCTGGTGGCCAACCTGCCTATACTGATAGATAGGCCTAGTGCACGGTTCTGACTGTCTGTCTGGTGGCCGACCTGCCTATACTGATAGATAGGCCTAGTGCACGGTTCTGACTGTCTGTCTGGTGGCCGACCTGCCTATACTGATAGATAGGCCTAGTGCACGGTTCTGACTGTCTGTCTGGTGGCCGACCTGCCTATACTGATAGATAGGCCTAGTGCACGGTTCTGACTGTCTGTCTGGTGGCCGACCTGCCTATACTGATAGATAGGCCTAGTGCACGGTTCTGACTGTCTGTCTGGTGGCCAACCTGCCTATACTGATAGATAGGCCTAGTGCACGGTTCTGACTGTCTGTCTGGTGGCCGACCTGCCTATACTGTGCCCCCGCCCTCTCTCTCTCCGTCCCTCGCTAGCTCGCTATGAAAGATTTGAGTGTTTGTGTTCTCGAAAGTACGGCAACTAATCATTACTCCTCCGTTCTAAAAATACTGAATCTTAGGAGTCGATTCCTAGCGAAATCGAATCTTGACACTCAGAAATGGGAGTCGACACCGGGAGTCGCCGTGCAAGTAGTCGAGGAATCAATTATTTTGGAGTCGAGGAATCAATTATTTTGGAGTCGAGGAATCAATTATTTTGGAGTCGAGGAATCAATTATTTTGGAGTCGAGGAATCAATTATTTTGGAAGTTGACTCTCCACCACTACTTCATCGTCGTCGTTAACAGTTGCAAAAATGTCAGAGAAAGACAAGCGACAGCAGCGAAGTCCTGAATGGTAAAACGTAGAGAAGTTAAATGAGAAGGAAACTTTTCCAGGTGGAATTGAAGACCAGTAATGGTAGTGGTGGAAAAAGTACCCAATTGTCATACTTGAGTAAAAGTAAAGATAACTTAATAGAAAATGATTCAAGTAAAAGTCACCCAGCAAAATACTACTTGAGTAAAAGTATTTGGTTTTAAATATAGTATCAAAAGTAAATGTAATTGCTAAAATATACTTAAGTATCAAAAGTAAAAGTATAAATAATTACAAATTCCTTATATTAAGCAAACCAGACGGCACAATTATCTTGTTTTTATTTATTTACGGATAGCCAGGGGCACACTCCAATACTCTGACATCATTTACAAACAAAGCATGTGTTTAGTGAGTCTGCCAGATCAGAGGCAGTAGGGATGACCAGAGATGTTCTCTTGGTAAGTGCGTGAATGGGAACATTTTCCTGACCTGCTAAGCTTTCAAAATCTAACGAGTACTTTTGGGTGTCAAGGAAAATGTATGGAGTAAAAAAGTACATTATTGTCTTTAGGAATGTGATGTTGTAAAAGGGAACAAGGTGGTGTTCCTGTCCGACTGGATGCCCAGGTGTTGCATTGCATCAACCAATAGCTGCGTGCCACGTCATCGACTGCTCAATCTGACATCAAATTGCTATATCACATGATGTGGTTAGCTGATATGTTAAACTTATCTATCCATTGTGAGATCTGGCATGTCAGCAATGTACAGGAACACACCCACCTGACTACACCTCTTCCCCTCCTCCTCCTCTCCCTCTCCTCCCCCTCTCCCTCTCCTCCCCCTCTCCCTCTCCACCACCTCTCACTGTACAGAAACTAGACCCCATAGTAGAGGCATTGGACAGAGGGGAACCAGTGGACCTCAGCTCTCTACCTCCCCCTCCAGGTACGCTTGGCTTACTACACCTGACTCTTAGTTCTAAATCAATGACACCCTATTCCCTATATAGTGCACTACTTTTGACCAGAGCCTATAGGGTTTGGGATGTGGCCCTGAATACCTGCTAGAGCCTAGAAGACCAGGGTATTCATAGTGTCTCAGTCTCCGAGAGAGCGCTGATTTAGGATCAGTTTTCCGTTTTAGATCACAATGGAAAAAGATGCCATGGGGAACCTGATCCTAGATCAGCACTCGTACTCTGAGACGCTTAATACATTCCACCCTGACCCTTAAAGATCTGATCTCAACCCCTCCCATACGGTGAAACTCCTCTTTCTCCTCCTTCCTTCTCATCCCCTCTCTCTCTCTCTCCTCAGGAGATGCAGTGGTAGAGCGTTCTGCTCCTCCTCCTCCCCAGTCTTCCTCCAGACCCTCCCCTGCCGCTCCCCCGGCAGCTCCCCCGGTGGCCGACTCCGGTAACACACATTATATTAATAATAATAATATTGGATTGGATTTATAAAGCTCCTTTCTAAAGGGGGAAATCACCTCATCCATCACCAATGTGTAGCACCCACCTTGGTTGATGCACGGCAACCATTTTGTGCCAGGTCGCTCAGTGGAGGTGTGTGTGTGTGTGTGTGTGTGTGTGTGCGTGTGTGTGTGTGTGTGAGACAGCCCTCCCGGCCCCAGGCAGTGTAGGGGAAGCGTTACAACAGAGGATGGAGCGATACAAAGCTGCAGCAGAAGGGGCCAGGAGTAAAGGAGACGACCGCAAGGCTCGCATGCACCAGCGCATCGTCAAGGTACACACACCATCCCAACAATGACTGGTGGTTCAAACACACACACACACACACATCCCAACAATGACTGGTGGTTCAAACACACACACACACATCCCAACAATGACTGGTGGTTCAAACACACACACACATCCCAACAATGACTGGTGGTTCAAACACACACACACACACACACACACACATCCCAACAATGACTGGTGGTTCAAACACACACACACATCCCAACAATGACTGGTGGTTCAAACACACACACACACACACACACATCCCAACAATGACTGGTGGTTCAAACACACACACATCCCAACAATGACTGGTGGTTCAAACACACACACACATCCCAACAATGACTGGTGGTTCAAAACACACACACACATCCCAACAATGACTGGTGGTTCAAACACACACACACACACATCCCAACAATGACTGGTGGTTCAAACACACACACACACACATCCCAACAATGACTGGTGGTTCAAACACACACACACACAATTAGACAGAACTCCAAGTTTCATGCTTTTGACAGCAGGCAGCGGAAACATCTCACACACACACTGTAATGTATACCTGCTTGGATATATCGTACTAATGTTATTTTTCTCTCTCTCGCTCTGTCTGTCTGTGCATGTGTCTGTGTGTCTGTCTGTGTTTCTGTGTGCGTGTGTGTCTGTGTGTGTGTGTGTGTGTGTGCATGTGTCTGTGTTTCTGTGTGCCTGTGTGTCTGTGTGTGTGCCTGTGTGTGTGTCTGTGTGTAACAGCAATACCAGGATGCCATCAGGTCTCATAAGTCTGGACGACCAGTCAACCTAGCTGATCTACCTGTACCACCAGGTAACATGCTGTTAGTAGCAGCTTTCAACAGGCACTCTATAATAGGTGTTTTAGCATAGTGAGTGTTCAGTCTGTACTGGGTTTAAATGATGGCTTCATTGTATGAGAGTTTTTATTTATATACTTTGTTACTCCCAGGCTGGCCCTTGCTAGCGTCATGTTTTATTAGCATGTTTTTAGTGTGTACTCCGTAGCATGTTTTTAGTGTGTACTCCTTAGCATGTTTTTAGCGTGTACTCCGTAGCATGTTTTTAGCGTGTACTCCATAGCATGTTTTTAGCGTGTACTCCGTAGCATGTTTTTAGCGTGTACTCCGTAGCATGTTTTTGTTCTCTGTGTTTACTATGTACTGTGTTGTTGTGGCCCAGGCTGTCCTCCGCTGCAGGGCTCAGAGAGCGGCCAACAGAACTTCATGGGCGTCCTGGAGACGGCCATGAAACTAGCCAATCAGGACGCAGACGCAGAGGACGAGGACGGACCAGGGGAATTGGCAAAGGTAACCACCATGACCTATGACCCTGACACACATGATGAGATTTCATGAGATTTCTTGATGCTGAAGATTGTTCTGGAAGTGGGAAAATATGGATACTATGTCCTAGACACGCAGAATAAATAGTATGTTCATGTTTACAATATTTCGCTTCGCTTCCGTTCACGTAACACTCTCTCTCTCTCTTTCTCTCTGTCTCTCTCTCTCTCTCTCTCTCTCTCTATGTCTCTCTCTCTGTCTCTCTCTCTCTTTCTCTCTTTCTCTCTATGTCTGTCTTTATGTCTCTCTCTCTGTCTCTCTATCTATCTCTCTCTCTTCTCTCTGTCTCTCTCTCTACTCTCTATATGTATCTCTCTCTCTGTCTCTCTCTATTGTCTCTCTCTTATGTCTCTCTCTCTTATGTCTTCTCTATCTGTCTTCATTCTTCTCTCTCTGTTCTCTATCTATGTCTCTCTATGTCTTATCTCTCTATGTCTTTTATGTCTCTTTCTATCTCTCTGTCTCTCTCTGCTCATATGTCTCATCTCTGTCTCTCTCTACTCTACTTATCTCTCTCTCTTATCTACTCTCTCTATCTATCTCTTCTCTCTCTATCTTACTCTCTCTCTTCTGCTATTTCTCTCTTCTGTCGTCTCTCTCTCTATGTCTGTCTCTCTTCTCTCTCTCTTCTTCTCTCTCTCTCTTGTCTTCTCTCTTCTCTCTCTACTCTCTCTCCTCTCTCTCTCTCTCTCTCTCTCTCTCTTTCTCCTCTCTCTCTCTCTCTCTCTCTGTCTCTCTCTCTCCCCAGCCTGCAGTGGGAGCTCCAGTCCAGAAAGGCAAAGCTCCGACCCCTCCCACACCAGGTTCTGGAGGCAACACAACACAGGGCTCCAGACTGGGGCCTAAAGGTGTGTGTGTGTTTCAGTATATGTGTATGTTGGTGTCAGTGTGTGTGTACATATTCATATATGTATTAAATTCATCCCTTGACATGACACAAATTCACTCTCCCATTAGCCACTCTGATGTCTCCCTACACACACAACCACACACACACTTACCCCCCTCTCCCCCACACTCACACATACATCCACATCCTGACTCCCTGCCTGTGACGTCCCTTCCTGTGGTGCAGCCCAGCAGCAGTTGGACTTCCTGTTGCTGCGACGGCAGGCGTTCATCCGCGCGGCGCTGCGTTCTAAACAGATGAAGGACATGCAGGGAGCAGCAGTCCATCTCCGACACGCTAAGGGACTGGACCAGATGATCAGCGCCACCAAGGGAGGCCTGCCTGTAGACATCACCAAGGTGTGTGTGTGTGGGGTAGTGGAGGGCAACTTTCCACTAATTCCCAGGTTTTCAAGAAATCTAGAAATCTGCAGGGAAATAATAAAGCTGGAAATCCTCAACCAGAATTTCTGGAAATCTTTGGAAAGTTTGGAATTTTGCAACCCTAGGAGGTCTGTGTGTCAAGGTAAAGGAGGGTGGGGAGAGGGAGGGAAAGGAGGAACATTGAGACGTGTGTCTGTGTATTTATGTGTTAAAGGAAGAGAGAAAATCTCCTGCTGTTAAGGGAGGAGAGAAGGGTGAGAGAGGATGGGGGAGGTATTATTTTTATCTCTTGGTGTCACTGGAGAGACTGCAGGAGAGGAGCCAGGAACAGATGGAGAGTACAGGGGAAGACCAAGACAGCGGGGGGGGGGGGGAGAAGCGCCTGCGGGGGACGTGGCACACCGCGCGCGGCGCGCGACCGTCGCGCGAGGGCCTCGCCGCGGGACACACTCGCGCGCGCGACCGCGACGCAAGGGCCGCGCCGCGGCGACACACCGCGCGGCGCGCGACCGGGCCCCAGGGCCGCGCCGGGCGACAAAACCGCCGCGCGCGCGCGAGCGCGCGCGAGGGCCGCGCCGCGGCGACACACCGCGCGACGCGCGACCGCGAGGGCCGCCGCGGCGACACACCGCGGCGCGCCGCGACCGCGAGCCGCGCGCCCCGGCGACACACCGCCGCGCGGCAGCGAACCGCGCGCGAGATGGACGCGCGCGGCGACACACCAGCGCGCCGCGCGCGACCGGAGTGCGAGACGCGGCGACAAACCGCGCCTCGCGCGCAGGAGCCGCGACCGCGAGGGCCAGCGCGGAGACAACACCGCGAGCTCTAGCATCGCGAGCTGCATACACACAGCGCGTTCTCTCTCTTCTATCTCTCGACTCTCTCTCTCTCTCTCTCTATCTCTCTCTTTTCCTCTCCTCTTCTACACACCTCTCTCTACCTCTCTCTCTATTTCCTCTCCTCTTCTACACACCTCTCTCTCTACCTCTCTCTTTTTGTGTCAGTGTGTCTGTAATTATGTTTGTGTGGGTATGTGTACATAATTGTATATGTGTTAAATTCATCCCTTGACATGAACAGTTTCACTCTCCCATTAGCCACTCTGATCTCTCCCTACACACACAAACACACACACTTACACCCCCCCACACACACACACACATGCACATTCATCTTCCATCTCTTTCTCTCCCTCTAACTGAATCCTGTCCCCGCTCTCTCTTCCTCAATCTCTTTCTCTCCCCCTGGGTTAAATGTGGAAGACACATTTCAGTTGAATGCGTTCAGTTGTCCAACTGACTAGGAATCCCCCTTTCCTTTCCGTCCCACAGGTCCCCAGTGCTCCAGTCATTGAGGAGGACTACTCTCTGTCTCGGTCTCATTCCTCTCCTCGCTCCTCAGAGCAGTACAGCAGCCTCATGGAGCTCCTCCGACAGCAGCACCAGGTTATTACACTCTTATGACATCTCTTACTACATATTTATAACACATGATGTAACTCATTAATATGGAGCTCCTCTGACAGCAGCACCAGGTTATTACACTCTTATGACATCTCTTACTACATATTTATAACACATGATGTAACTCATTAATATGGAGCTCCTCTGACAGCAGCACCAGGTTATTACACTCTTATGACATCTCTTACTACATATTTATAACACATGATGTAACTCATTAATATGGAGCTCCTCTGACAGCAGCACCAGGTTATTACACTCTTATGACATCTCTTACTACATATTTATAACACATGATGTAACTCATTAATATGGAGCTCCTCTGACAGCAGCACCAGGTTATTACACTCTTATGACATCTCTTACTACATATTTATAACACATGATGTAACTCATTAATATGGAGCTCCTCTGACAGCAGCACCAGGTTATTACACTCTTATGACATCTTACTGCATATTTGTAATTAAGCAATACGGCAAGAGGGATTGTGGTATATGGCCAATATACCACGGCTAAGGGCTGTTCTTAAGCACGACGCAACGCGGAGTTCCTTGATACAGCCCTTAGCCGTGGTATATTGGCCATATATCACAACCCCCTGAGGTTCCTTGTTGCTATTATAAACTGGTTACTGACGTAATTAGAGCAGTCAAAATACATGTTTTGTCATACCCGTGGTATACGGTCTGATATACCACGTCTTTCAGCCAATCAGCATTCAGGGTTCGAACCACCCAGTTTATAACATGATATAACTAATTAATATGGAGCTCCTCCGACAGCAGCACCAGTTTATTACAACTCTTATGACATGCTTATTAAACACTGTTACGACAACTTATTAAACAGCACACCCCTTTAGCATATATTTAAAACAATATATTTATATAGCACCTCACGAACAATAAATGCCTAATTGAACCCTTATATATGCAACACCTTTATACACCTTATAATAAACTTATAACATGTTGATAGTACATTAATAACACATGATCTGTTTCTCTCTACAGAAATGTCTGGGTTACTCACAGCAGTTCACTCACATGGGAAGCGTGGCCGAGACCTCCAGGTTAGTGGCAACAATTGTGTTTTGAGTGGACGCATGCGCGAGTACCCCGAAGCACATCAAGATGTTAAAATAATGACCGGACTGATAAAAATAGTCAAAATTCAATAAGTATTTATTATAAAACAGATGTGTTTTCAAAAAGAGTGTAAAATACAAACTAAAAGGTTATTAAAACAACCAAGACCTGCACACCATACAGTGTATATATAGGATGTCTACCTCCATTACATTTACATTTTATCCAGAGCGACTTACAGTTAGTGAATACATTTTTTTTTTTAATTCTTTTAAATATATATATATATATATATATATATATATATATATATTTTTTTTTTTATACTGGCCCCCCGTGGGAACCGAACCCACAACCCTGGCGTTGCAAACGCCATGCTCTATCAACTGAGCTACATCCCTGCCGGCCATTCCCTCCCCTACCCTGGACGACGCTGGGCCAATTGTGCGCCGCCCATGAGTCTCCCGGTCGCGGCCGGCTGCGACAGAGCCTGGTTTCGAACCAGGATCTCTAGTGGCACAGTTAGCACTGTGATGCAGTGCCTTAGACCACTGCGCCACCCATTACTCGCATTCTGTTCAGAAACACCATTTTAAAGAGACACACAATAATTAGGATCAGGTGTGGTCAATTAGTAGGCGTGGCCAGCACACCTGAACACACTCAAATGGACGTGACAAACACTTGAAACTATTGAGGATGAAGTTGATGATACACGTACACCTATGGTAATGTTTGAATAGTAAAACACAATTTGGGCCCAATTTAACATACGTTTAACAAATATATCAGTGAAGATGCATTGAATTCAAGGAAATGCCATCTTCACAGTGTCTGTGTGAACCAGGGTGGGAAATTAAACTTTTTGGTCCACTATCCACTGTGGCAGGTAGATTAAAAAATCGACCAGCCACTCAGATTTTTTAACAGCCATAATATGTTTTGCGCCATAATTACAATTTCAAAAAATAACTGATGAGCATGCTTTTGTAATGTTTCTAAAACAAGAAATGTATTACTAGTCAAAAGTAATGGGTTATATTGCTTAATTTCATTTCATTTTTGTGACCTGCGTCTTTTAACCAATGTATGTTAAAATAAATAATGTTGATGCTATAGTAAAAACAGATAAACAGTTCTACAACTGAACATCAGCAATCAACAAAGTGCCTGCCCTGCCACAAAATGCTGAGTGATACGGTTTATTTATTATTGTAGTTCAGAGCTCTACGCTGACATGTTTTACAAGGAGTACATGATCTGCTCCTAAGTAGAAATGTAGAAGCACACAAATAAATCTAGGAGAACATTTAAAGTATTTGAGTGTTTTAATGATAAGAAATGACTAAAAGTTCATGAATATGTTTTTTTTGGAGTGATTCATGCTCAATCAAGCACAATCATTAGGTGAGACAAAAATTGTCAGCTGGCATTTTAAGGGATGGGCCGTTACCATGGTAACACTGGCACTCGCTTGTCTGTGACTAACAAAATCTCCGACCGCGACGTCTTCCTAGCAGCAGACAGTTGCAGCAAACTCAAACTAACATTGAAAAACAACCTAGAGTGTGAAGAAACCGATGTAACTGGCCAAGAAACAGGAGGACAAAGTCACACTTCAGTAGCCTTTCTTGTAAATTCCACCAACTTCTTCTACATGTGGGCTTTGGTTTAAAAAAAACTGTTGCCAAATGCTCTGTGTGACCAACCGCCAACGTGGCTGGTGAAATAAATAGACATGAAACCCCGCCAATGACAACATCTACCCCCATTTGGCGGGTGGCTGGTGTGAACCCTGTGTGTGTGTGTGTGTGTGTGTTGCTGTTGTCAGGTTTGAGAAGCTGGCAGAGGAGTGTATGCAGAACATTGAGGTACTGAAGAAGGCCCACGCCAAGGGCCAACCTGTCCCCAAATACCACACTGAGGAGAGGACCTTCAACACTGTCAAGTAATATATTGTTACTAACATATTAATACCACACTGAGATGAGGACCTTCAACACTGTCAAGTAATATACTGTTACTAACATATTAATACCACACTGAGGAGAGGACCTTCAACACTGTCAAGTACTATACTGTTACTAACATATTAATACCACACTGAGGAGAGGACCTTCAACACTGTCAAGTACTATACTGTTACTAACATATTAATACCACACTGAGGAGAGGACCTTCAACACTGTCAAGTAATATACTGTTACTACATATTAATACCACACTGAGGAGAGGACCTTCAACACTGTCAAGTACTATACTGTTACTAACATATTAATACCACACTGAGGAGAGGACCTTCAACACTGTCAAGTACTATACTGTTACTAACATATTAATACCACACTGAGGAGAGGACCTTCAACACTGTCAAGTATAATGTTACTAACATAATTAATACCAACTGAGGAGAGGACCTTAACACAATGTACACAGACTATACTGTACTAACATATTAATACCACACTGAGGAGGGACCTCAATCTGTTCTCAGTCAGTTTGTATTACAATGAACATGTATATAAAATACTCTGTCTACACCACATGAGATACACACACAATGAAGTATATATATTCAATATACACACAGCAGGAGGAAAGTAATCTGTTTTCTCTGTCTGTTGTTGTGAATGTATGCCTAACCGACAGGCATGAGATGATGTGACATGTGAAGGGTATCATCTACTGCTCCTGAGGGTGGTGTTTTGAACTAAGTCACCCTCTCCGAGCAGAATAAACGAGAGGGAACAGCCAGAGGGAGAAAAACACGGCGGGGAACAAAAAGAGCGTTGGGAGAACCACGGGCGGCGCAAACCAATGCGCACCCCGCGTAACTGGCTCAACCCCTCTCTTCTCACCCTCGCTTCTCACCCCTGCTCGTCTCACCCACCGCTTCCTTTTTCCTCACCCTCCTCTTTTCCTCACCCCCTGCTCGCTTCTCAACCCCTCTCTTTGTCACCACCTCTCTTCTCACCCCTCTCTTTTCACCTCTCTCTTCTCACCCCTCTCTTCTCACCCCTCTCTTTTCACCCCTCTCTTTTCACCCCTCTCTCATTCTTCTCACCCCTCTCTTCTCACCCCTCTCTCATTCTTCTCACCCCTCTCTCATTCTTCTCACCCCTCTCCTCAGGAGTATCTGCCAGTGATCTGGACACCAGTGTGCGCTTTGAGTTTCCTTTTCCTAGTGCGGTAAGACAGACACACACACACACACACACACACACAAATAACCTGCACACATTTCCACTTAGATCCACTCAAATATTCTCTCCCTGTCTTTGATGTGTGTGTGTGTGTCTGCCTGTGTGTTGCGTGCATGTGTGTGTGTAGGAGGAGGCCCAGAAGGATAAGACCAGTACAGTAAAGAACAGCAACAGTCCAGAGTTTAAAGAGCAGTTTAAACTGAACATCAACCGTCAACATAGAGGCTTCAAGAGGGTCATCCAGGCCAAAGGCATCAAGTTTGACATCATCCACAAGGGGTGAGATCCACAGAGATACACCAGACCTGGGTTAATACATGCGGATTGAAGTAACATAGAATATTAACACAGAAACATCATGTGGGGGAATCTGGTCTAGTGGTTTAACACTGCAGACATTGGACCACACATACCTGTTGGTGAAGGGGTTATGGATCCCACCTGGGCCCCTACTGTCTGTCTGTCTGTCTCTGTCACATACCTGTTGGTGAAGGGGTTATGGATCCCACCTGGGCCCCTACTGTCTGTCTGTCTGTCTCTGTCACATACCTGTTGGTGAAGGGGTTATGGATCCCTGATCCCCTACTGTCTGTCTGTCTGTCTCTGTCACATACCTGTTGGTGAAGGGGTTATGGATCCCACCTGGGCCCCTACTGTCTGTCTGTCTGTCTCTGTCACATACCTGTTGGTGAAGGGGTTATGGATCCCACCTGGGCCCCTACTGTCTGTCTGTCTGTCTCTGTCACATACCTGTTGGTGAAGGGGTTATGGATCCCTGGTCCCCTACTGTCTGTCTGTCTGTCTCTGTCACATACCTGTTGGTGAAGGGGTTATGGATCCCTGGTCCCCTACTGTCTGTCTGTCTGTCTCTGTCACATACCTGTTGGTGAAGGGGTTATGGATCCCTGGTCCCCTACTGTCTGTCTGTCTGTCTCTGTCACATACCTGTTGGTGAAGGGGTTATGGATCCCTGGTCCCCTACTGTCTGTCTGTCTGTCTCTGTCACATACCTGTTGGTGAAGGGGTTATGGATCCCTGGTCCCCTACTGTCTGTCTGTCTGTCTCTGTCACATACCTGTTGGTGAAGGGGTTATGGATCCCTGGTCCCCTACTGTCTGTCTGTCTGTCTCTGTCACATACCTGTTGGTGAAGGGGTTATGGATCCCACCTGGGCCCCTACTGTCTGTCTGTCTGTCTCTGTCACATACCTGTTGGTGAAGGGGTTATGGATCCCTGGTCCCCTACTGTCTGTCTGTCTGTCTCTGTCACATACCTGTTGGTGAAGGGGTTATGGATCCCACCTGGGCCCCTACTGTCTGTCTGTCTGTCTCTGTATCTGTCTCCTATCTACCTTCCAACGGTCACTGGCCATAAACAATCAAATACTAACAAATTAAAAAAATATATAATAAACAGAGAAACAAAGAAAGGTCATTGTGAACAGTGACCTGGGCTGTCCATTGTCTATAATCAACAGTGGTATTCACTGGGCATGAGACGGAAGACATTTCTCAGAAACAGGATAAAACTGGGAAGCATTTTCCAGACAGAGAGTTGAGAAGGTGTTCTTCTGATCAGGTTAAATCCCTTTCTCTGTCTGGACTGGTCCAATAACAAACTCTCCTTTTCATTTAGCCACGGTGCACTTCATACTGTGTGTTCATTTAGCCACGGTGCACTTCATACTGTGTGTTCATTTAGCCACGGTGCACTTCATACTGTGTGTTCATTTAGCCACGGTGCGCTTCATACTGTGTTCATTTAGCCACGGTGCACTTCATACTGTGTGTTCATTTAGCCACGGTGCACTTCATACTGTGTGTTCATTTAGCTACGGTGCACTTCATACTGTTTGTTCATTTAGCCACGGTGCACTTCATACTGTGTGGTCATTTAGCCACGGTGCACTTCATACTGTGTGTTCATTTAGCCACGGTGCACTTCATACTGTGTGGTCATTTAGCCACGGTGCACTTCATACTGTGTGGTCATTTAGCTACGGTGCACTTCATACTGTGTGTTCATTTAGCTACGGTGCACTTCATACTGTGTGTTCATTTAGCCACGGTGCACTTCATACTGTGTGGTCATTTAGCCACGGTGCACTTCATACTGTGTGTTCATTTAGCTACGGTGCACTTCATACTGTGTGTTCATTTAGCTACGGTGCACTTCATACTGTGTGTTCATTTAGCCACGGTGCACTTCATACTGTGTGTTCATTTAGCCACGGTGCACTTCATACTGTGTGTTCATTTAGCTACGGTGCACTTCATACTGTGTGTTCATTGGCCTGTTAGTCCTGTAGAGTCTAAGACAGGGAGGGATTGGGTGGATTGAGACGCATCCAATGCAACAAAAAAACCAGTTATCTCTAGCTTAAACTGACAGATGTTGATGGGTATTATTTTATTTTGTTACTTAGATTGACTCACTGGTGCATCAATAGACCTTAGGGTTTTAATGTGTGTGTGTGTGTGTGTGTGTGTGTGTGTGTGTGTGTGTGTGTGTGTGTGTGTGTGTGTGTGTGTGTGTGTAGGGGTCTGTTCAAGGGGGACAAAGTGTTGGGGAACGCTCAGCTGAAGCTGGACTCACTGGAGAACCAATGTGACATCAGACAGATTATAGAGGTAAACACACACACACACACACACACACAGATACACACACACAACTTTCCGCATGCACATATTTTCACTTAGACATGCACATATCTCTCTCTCTCTCTCTCTCTCTCTCTCTCTCTCTCACACACACCTATCTAACTGTGTGTTGTTGTTGTGCTAGGTGTTGACACACCTATCTAACTGTGTGTTGTTGTTGTGCTAGGTGTTGACACACCTATCTAACTGTGTGTTGTTGTTGTGCTAGGTGTTGACACACCTATCTATCTGTGTGTTGTTGTTGTGCTAGGTGTTGACACACCTATCTATATGTGTGTTGTTGTTGTTGTGCTAGGTGTTGACACACCTATCTAACTGTGTGTTGTTGTTGTGCTAGGTGTTGACACACCTATCTATCTGTGTGTTGTTGTTGTTGTGCTAGGTGTTGACACACCTATCTAACTGTGTGTTGTTGTTGTGCTAGGTGTTGACACACCTATCTAACTGTGTGTTGTTGTTGTGCTAGGTGTTGACACACCTATCTAACTGTGTGTTGTTGTTGTTGTGCTAGGTGTTGACACACCTATCTAACTGTGTTTTGTTGTTGTGCTAGGTGTTGACACACCTATCTATCTGTGTTGTTGTTGTTGTGCTAGGTGTTGACACACCTATCTAACTGTGTGTTGTTGTTGTGCTAGGTGTTGACACACCTATCTAACTGTGTTGTTGTGCTAGGTGTTGACACACCTATCTAACTGTGTGTTGTTGTTGTGCTAGGTGTTGACACACCTATCTAACTGTGTGTTGTTGTTGTTGTGCTAGGTGTTGACACACCTATCTAACTGTGTGTTGTTGTTGTTGTGCTAGGTGTTGACACACCTATCTATCTGTGTGTTGTTGTTGTTGTGCTAGGTGTTGACACACCTATCTAACTGTGTGTTGTTGTTGTGCTAGGTGTTGGATGGTCGTAAGGCTACAGGAGGTAAGCTGGAGGTGAGGGTAAAGATTCGGGAGCCGCTGGGAGGAGCACAGCTTCAGACCACCACAGAGAAATGGCTGGTCCTAGACCCTCTACCAATCACCACCCCCGACAGAGAGAGAGAACAACAGGTGAGGAGAGAGAGAGAGACCTACCTTTGGAGTGTTCAGTACTGGTAGGGGTATAGTATCTGTCAGAGTTAACATGTTATATTAATATCAGACTAACTGAAGTATCTGTCAGAGTTAACATGTTACATTAATATCAGTCTAACGGAAGTCTGTCTGTCTGTGCATGTCTGTCTGCCCCCCCCCCCCCCCCCCCCCCTCTCTCTCTCCCCCTCTCTCTCTCCCCCCCAGTCCCCCTCTCCTCGCTCCAAACCCAAGAGTGACCATGGGAGGAACAAGCAGCCTAACCAGTCCAGCCACTCTCCTGCCCAGTATAAACTCCACAGCTTCAGTCTACTGCACTACGATAAGGAGAGACTGGAGAGACAGGTAGGGCTGTGTGACTTCACACCATTTTCTTTCTCTCTATTTCCACTTCATTTTCCTCTCCTCTTCTCCGTGGGAACGTTTCATCTAGATCTGTTCACAATTGGAGGTAGCCAATCTATGCTGTGATTGGTCTAAGATGATGTCAATCACCCTGTGTGTCCTTCAGATTGGTGATTACAGGAAGAGTAGGCGGGATCCTCCGTCTGACCTGCTACAGCAACACAAGGAGGTCACACACAGGCTGCAGTGGCAGAAAGCCCAGCTAGAGAGAGGCTCCGCTACACTACTGTCAGGTAACACAATTCACAACCATATTCATACACAGGGTAATATGAACAGCTACACACTCATTTGTGTATTTCTCTCCCTCCCTCTATCCCTCCTTCCATCCGTCGCTCTCTCTGTCTCTCTCCATCCCCATCTCCCTCCATCTCTCTCTCTCTCTGTAGAGTATGAGAATGTTTTGCAGCGTTTTGCCCAGGGACTTGCTGAGTCAGTGAAGAAGTTTTCCAGCCAAGGCAACAGGGTGAGCACAGGGTCAGGGTCGTGTGTGTGTGTGTGTGTGTGTGTGTGTGTGTGTGTGTGTGTGTGTGTGTGTGTGTGTGTGTGTAACGTGTCTGTCCCTCTGCCTATTCAGGATGCTGCTAAGGACGCTCTAGGTCGGCTGAAGATGGTGGAGACTGAGGTAAACACTGTTATAGACACTCCGTGTTAGGTACATCACCCAGTTCACCAAAATGGATGGCTCCTACAGACAGTGAGTCACGTGGCCAGGGCTTGCTATATGAAGCAGGCAGACAGGCATCGAGGCATTCAGTTACTGTTCCATTGAACGTTAGAATGGGCAAAACGAGTGACCTAAGCGACTTTGAGCGTGGTATGGTCGTCGGTGCCAGGCGCACCGGATCCAGTATCTCAGAAACGGCCGGCCTCCTGGGTTTTCACGCGCGACAGTGTCTAGGGTTAAACGAGAATGGTGCTTCAAACAAAAAAACATCTAGTCAGCTGCAAGAATCGAGTGGAAAAACATTGCCTGGTCCGACGAATCCCGGTTCTTGTTGCGTCAGGATTTGGTGTAAGCAGCATGAGCCCCATCTTGCCTGGTGTCAACGGTACAGGCTGGTGGTGTAATGGTGTGGGGAATTTCCTGGCACATGTTAGGCCCCTTGATGCCAACTGAGCAACGATTCCATGCCCCGAAGAATTTAGGCTGTTCTGGAGGTAAAGGGGGGTCTGACCCGGTGCTAGATTGGTGTACCTAATAAACTGGCGAATAAGTGTATATATGACTATGTCTGTGTTTACACAGGCAGCCCAATTCTGATCTTTTGACCAATTATTGGCAAAATATCGGATCTGATTTAAAAAAAGACAAATTAGTGTCAAAAGATCAGAACTGGACTGCCTGTTTAAACAGCCTTTATTAATCTGACCACATACTGTATAAGAGCACTATGTGAGGTGATGTATAATATCATTTAGTTTGAATTGTATCTGACACCTACCTCTTGTCCTCCTCTCTACCCATCTACTTATCTCATCCCTCCCTCTCTCTCTCCCTCTCTCGCTCTCTCACCTCCACTCCTTCTCTCCCTCTCTTCTCTCACCTCCACTCCTTCTCTCCCTCTCTCCTTCTCTCCCTCTCTCGCTCTCTCACCTCCACTCCTTCTCTCCCTCTCTCACCTCCACTCCTTCTCTCCCTCCCTCCTTCTCTCCCTCTCTCCCTCTCTCGCTCTCTCCTCACCATCCCTCCTCTCTCCTTCTCTCCTTCTCTCCCTCTCTCGCTCTCTCACCTCCACTCCTTCTCTCCCTCTCTCCTACTCCACTCCTTCTCTCCCTCTCTCCTACTCCTCTCCTTCTCTCCCTCTCTCCCCTTCTCCTCTCTCTCCCTCTCTCACCTCCACTCCTTCTCTCCCCTTCTCCTCTCTCTCCCCATCTCATGTGTTCCTTCTTTCCCTCTCTCCATTCCTCAGTTGGAATCTCTCAAGAGGAAACGCACCGTATGAGAGGAAGAGGACAGAGGGAGAGTTGGCTGGAGGACTGTTATATTACACACACCAATCACACACACACTCAGGGGACAGGTCCAAGCACCTTTAACATCTTCATGACACTCCTATGTTCCTCTCTGCCTCCTCCACTAATACTCTCCCTTTTACTCTGTACTTTAATTAGTATTGTCATTCATACAATCCGTTATGAAGAAGAACCCGTTTGAATAATAACAGGCCTGCATCCCAAATGGCATCTTATTCCCTATGTAGTGCACTACTTTTGACCCAGGGCCCATAGGGACTATATAGGGAATAGGGTGCCATTTGAGATGCGAGGCAGAAATGGGCTCCTGTGAGATTGAAAGTGACATGAAGACAGAACCCAGGGCAGGAGAGAGAAAGCCTTATTTGCACTTCAAAACAAAACACTACCGATATTAACAAAACCCTGCCGCCTTCAGAATAGTCCTTAAAGTCCTTCATTGGTTCTCTCTCTTTCTCTCTGTTCAGAGAGTGGTGTGTGATGGTTCTCCTCCAGGTGTGGTGTGTGTGTGTGTGTGTGTGTGTGTGTGTGTGTGTGTGTAATGTTAATGAGCTTAATCTAATCTTTCTGCTCCACTATTCCCAGATTACTGTAATCTGACCCGTTTGGTGCTGTGCGATATGGGAGTAAAACCGGGGTTCCGGGCACGGGAACTACATCCCATAATGAAGGATTAGCTAACACTGGTGTCGCCATGGAGATGCCTCATTCAGGGAAGTGAGGAGAGGAGGTACTCCAGGGGTTCAATTGAAAAGGACAGAGTTAGAATTAGTGTAGAACGGACATATAGCTGTAAAATCCACTGGATTTGCTTTGAATTGGGATGAATGTAGGTTCTCTATTAATTGTAATTCTATGGTACGGAGTCTGGGAGCCCGTTTAAAAGGACCCTTCTTATAGGACGATATTTAGCCCATTGTGATGTCATCAATTAGGCTTGCGTCATATGACTATGATGTCATCAGTTAGAATGTTCAACAAAGGATTGCGTCCTCACCACATTGTGATGTCATCAGTTAGAGGTCGTGTTACTCTGCTCAGACGTTGCTGACGCCAGATCTTCAGTCAGGGTGACGGGGGCTGGGAGGGGGTACAGAACAGACTTCAGTCAGGGTGACGGGGGCTGGGAGGGGGTACAGAACAGACTTCAGTCAGGGTGATGGGGGCTGGGAGGGGGTACAGAACAGACTTCAGTCAGGGTGACGGGGGCTGGGAGGGGGTACAGAACAGACTTCAGTCAGGGTGACGGGGGCTGGGAGGGGGTACAGAACAGACTTCAGTCAGGGTGACGGGGGCTGGGAGGGGATACAGAACAGACTTCAGTCAGGGTGACGGGGGCTGGGAGGGGGTACAGAACAGAATTCAGTCAGGGTGACGGGGGCTGGGAGGGGGTACAGAACAGACTTCAGTCAGGGTGACGGGGGCTGGGAGGGGGTACAGAACAGACTTCAGTCAGGGTGACGGGGGCTGGGAGGGGGTACAGAACAGACTTCAGTCAGGGTGATGGGGGCTGGGAGGGGGTATAGAACAGACTTCAGTCAGGGTGATGGGGGCTGGGAGGGGGTACAGAACAGACTTCAGTCAGGGTGATGGGGGCTGGGAGGGGGTACAGAACAGAGAGGGTTAATGGTGGTTTCAAGAGAGGCCTTTGTGTGGTTTCTGGGTCAGATTGGAGGGCAGAAAGAAATGGGCTGCGTCCCAAATGACACCCTATTCCCTATATAGTGCACTATAGGGTGCCATTTGGGATGCTACCCATGTCCCCAGCGGCAGATACAGTAGATGACTTCATCCGTGTCCAAGCTGGCATGATGTCGGCCCCAAATCCTACAGTGATCCTCTAAGAATGAGAAGAAGAGGCTTCACTGTACACACTCTCCCTCACACACACACACACACACACACACACACACACACACACACACACTGTCAGGCTGGTGCATTCCCGCTCTAATGCTCATCAGCATTCTCCGTGGTTGGTTACGGGACAAACAACCCTGACACACAGACAGACAGACAGATGGTCAAACTTACTGGAACCTCACTTCTCTTTTCTCTCTCTCTGTCTATCCCACCCTCTCTCTCTCTCTGTCTATCCCACCCTCTCTCTCTCTCTCTGTCTATCCCACCCTCTCTCTCTCTCTGTCTATCCCACCCTCTCTCTCTCTCTTTGTCTATCCCACCCTCTCTCTCTCTCTCTCTGTCTATCCCACCCTCTCTCTCTCTGTCTATCCCACCCTCTCTCTCTCTCAATTCAATTCAATTCAATTCAATTCGCTTTATTGGCATGACGTAACAATGTACATATTGCCAAAGCTTACTTTGGATATTTACAATATAAAAAATAAATAAAAATGAGAGTCAAAAATTGTCAACGGGACAACAGTAACAACAATAACCAACGGTCAATATAACCATACATTCAACAATAACAATAATCATACAGTTGAGGACATGTGCAGGTTTATTGGTCTGTCAGACACTGTCCCTCAACTTATGGCAGGCAGCAATGTAGTGCGCTGCCAACCCACAGCTCTCTGCGTCCTCCCCCAACAGGATGGGTAGCCTATCCTCATCAGAGAGGTCTTTAAAACCTTGAATAAGGATTTCAAATTTGGGGAAATGACACTCTCTAATTGTTTTATATTTTTGACATTTTGTCAGGAAATGCAGCTCCGTCTCAGGTTCTGCTGTTGTGCAGTGGTTGCACAGCCTTTCCTCTACAGGGAGCCAGGTTTTCCTGTGTCTACCCTTCTCAATGGCAAGGCTGTGCTCACTGAGCCTGTACTTTGTCAAGGTTTTTCTAAGGTTTTGATCAGTAACCATGGTCAAATATTTAGCCATAGTGTACTGTCGATTTAGGGCCAGATAGCACTGCATTTTGCTTTGTGTTTTGTGCTTGTGTTTCCCAATAAGCAATGTAGTTTTGTTTTGACTGTGTTGTAATTTGGTTTATTCTGATTGATTGGATGTTCTGGTCCTGAGGCTTCAGTGTGTTAGTAGAACAGGTTTGTGAACTCAGCCCCAGGACCAGCTGGATGAGGGGACTCTTTTCTTTGCTCAGCTCTTGGCATTGCAGGGCTTGGTAATGATATGAGAGGGGGTCACTGTATTTTAGGTGTTTCCAAAACTTAATTGCTCTTTTTTGAGTTTTTATTATTAGTGGATATTGGCCTAATTCTGCCCTGCATGCATTGTTTGTAGTTTTCCTCTGGACACGTAGGAGAATCTTACAGAACTCTGCATGTAGGGTTTCAATGGGGTGTTTGTCCCATTTGATGAAATCTTGTTTTGCAAGTGGACCCCACACCTCGCTGCCATAAAGTGCAATTGGTTCAATGACATATTCAATTAGTTTTAGCCAAATTTTAATAGGTATTTCAATTTGAATTTGCTTTTTAATGGCGTAGAATGCCCTGCGTGCTTTCTCTCTCAGTTCATTCACTGCCTCATTAAGGTGTCCAGTTGAGCTTATTTTTAAACCTAAGTAATTGTAGTGTGTACAGTACTCTATATATTTTGTACCAATTGAGAACTTTGGTCTAATTCCCTGAGATCTGGATCTTCTCTGGAAAATCATTATTTTAGTCTTTTTGGGGTTTACTGCCAGGGCCCAGGTCTGGCAGTACTGCTCTAGCAGGTCCAGGCTCTGCTGTAGGCCAGGTGCTGTGGGTGACAGCAGGCATAGGTCATCTGCGAAGAGTAGGCATTTAACTTCTGAATTGTGGAGACTAACACCAGGGGCTGAGGATTTTTCTAGAATAGTGGCCAATTCGTTAATGTAAATATTGAAGAGTGCAGGGCTCAGATTGCAACCCTGACGAAGGCCCCGCCCCTGGTTAAAGAATTCTGTCCTTTTCTTACCAATTTTAATGCTGCACGTATTGCCAGTATACATTGATTTAATTATGTCATATGTTTTACCCCCTACACCACTTTCAATAACTTTGTAGAACAGTCCTGTATGCCAAATAGAATCAAATGCTTTTTGGAAGTCGATAAAGCAAGTGTATATTTTGGTATTATTTTGGTGGACATGTTTATCTATCAGGGTGTGTAAGGTGTAAATATGATCAGTTGTGCGATGTTTTGGTATAAATCCAATTTGGCTTTTACTCAAGACATTGTGCTTATTAAGGAAGTTTAGAAGTCTTACATTGATGATACTACAGAAAACCTTCCCCAGGTTACTGTTCACACAAATGCCTCTGTAATTGTTAGGGTCAAATTTGTCTCCATTCTTAAAGATTGGGGTTATGAGTCCTTGATTCCAGATGTCAGGGAAATAACCTACACTCAGGATCAAATTAAACAATTTTAATATAGCCAATTGAAATTTTGCACTAATGAGTTTGAGCATTTCATTTAGGATGCCATCAGGTCCGCAGGCTTTTTTAAATTTGAGAGCCTGAAGTTTCTTATAGAGCTCCTGGTCAGTAATTGGGGAGTCCAATGGGTTTTGATTGTCCTTTATAGCTTTTTCTAATCCATTCAACTTCTCATGGATTTGGCGTTGTTCTGCGTTTGTGTCAATTTGAACGGTGTTGTAGAGTGTTTTGAAATGGGTTGTCCATATGTCACCATTTTGTATTGCTAATTCCTCTTGTTTAGATTTTTTTAGTTTTTTTCCAATTTTGCCAAAAGTTGTTTGTGTTTATGGACTCCTCAATTAGTGTCAGCTGCTTGCTGTTGTACTGTGCTTTTTTGGTTCTGAGTGTACGTTTATAGAGTTTTTAAAGTCTCACAGTAATGAAGGCGTAATTCACCATTATTTGAGTCTCTGTGCTTTTGGTTGGATAGTGTTCTAAGTTTTTTCCTTATAATTTTACAATCTGCATCAAACCAGTTGTCATCTGTGATTTTTTAGTTTTGTTTTTTATCAATTTCAATTGTGCTTCTTTTGCCGTTTGCCTGAATATATAGTTGATGTTTCGTACTGCTAGATTGATGCCTTCTTTACTGTGAGTGAATGTGGTATCCAGAAAGTTATCTAAGAGTGTTTGGATATTTTGGTTCCAGGTTGCTTTCTGGTATTCTTCTGTGCTGTTTTGGGCCCATCTGTATGAATTTCTGATGTTGTACAGCTTACTGGGTTGTGAATGTGTGGTTGTTTCCAGGTCTGTTCTTTTGAGGAACAACGTAATTTGGCTGTGATCAGACAGAGGTGTTAGTGGCTTGACAGTGAATGAGCTGAGAGAGAAAGGGTCCATGTCTGTGATC